AGTCAAACGATCGGGTGTCAAGTATTTTTGCAAATCAAAGATTTTCAACGATTTCTTCTTTTGTATCACTCTTTAAGCATGTTGGAAGCTTAACACATTAAACCGAAGTTATGCTAACACATCTTTGGTGCACACTTCCTGAAAGTTATTGAAACTTAAAGTACGCCATTTTAATTAAACAATGTAAATTCTATACGAGCTCTGATAATCTGTCACTTTTGGTCGTTTGTTATCAGACGAGGTGAGGTTTATCCTTCAAGTTTCATTAATTTATCTTTCGATATAAAGTCCTGTTTATCCGTTTGTCACTTATAGCCTGATATATTGTCATTTAAAACTTTTACTATGTTCAGTTGCTTGAGATCGGATAAGTTGTCGTATTTTGACCTAAGAGTTGAATACCGTATTCTTCATCTCTCTTTTACGTTCTTTTTGTTGTCTTTTCAATATTCACCTGTTGTTTATGATATTATACTTGTTTCAGGTCTATTCCAGTTATTTAGGATCTTCAACTTATAGAATATTTGCGTTTTTTCACAAATCATACCAACTACAATTAAAAAAATTATACCAACCTTACAGGAGTCTTCATCTTCCACTCCTCCAGCACAGATAAAACTTTCATGAAGATGATAAAATTGGCCAAGATGGGTGTTCTGCAAGATCTCCTCACAATAATCATTATATATCACAGGTACGTGGGTTTCTCTCAATAAATTCGTGTAGGAACCTCCCTCTGGTGGAAAAAGAAAAACGTTTAATTAAGTTTTATGATAATAACATCAGTTGTTAATAAACAAAATTAACCTGTTTCATTTCAACTCCAAATGCTATTTTTGGAAATGAGTAAACCAGATGATGTTAGAACCATTCAAATAGTCCATTTCTCTTAGTAAGTGAACTGACAGTATTTTTTCTAAATAATACACACAGCGTAGTAATAACAAACAAATATCTCAATGAAATCATCCTCATGTAATTAGCTACAAGCGTTTACTTTTACTCATTTTGGGTCGAGCTTTGCATAAAATATTTTAACCAAATTACGAGATAAATTATTTGACTACTGAAACATCATTGAAAAAAAAAGGATATAGACGGGATTGAATCATCGGCCTCTCACATACAAAGCGTGTACTGTGCCATATGAGCCAAAGCCAAAATATTTTTTGTTCACATATGCAGGATTATTAAGTGGAATATTATATATATGAGAACGGTGTATGTTTTAAATAGAAAATTCCTTACAATAATGCTGTTGTTGTACTATGTAGTTCGACATGAACAAAACAAAAACCTACTTCGTTTGTATCGATTTCAATTAATTTTTATTTTCCTTCCGCAATGGTATCAACTCTTTTTTTTTTTTAACTCTCCCCTAAGGTATTAGCAAAACATCGGGTCCACTACTACCATTACCTGAAATAGTGTAATAATATATTTCTCTAGTGGGTAAACTTGTTCCTTTCGTACGAAGCTTATTTACCATATCGAACTCGAATATAAGGCCAGCTCCATTTTCAGGAACCGTGGGAAAGAAAAAAATGAGTGTCATAACATTCTTATTTTTAAGTCTGCAAAATCAATACTATAACTGAACAGCCTGCAGGTGGATCAGTTTCAAGAATTAGCAATGACCTTGAACAAACATCTGGCGTGCATGCGAAGATGGATGCTATCTGGACATCCAGGAATGCGTTATAAGGCGACCATGAATTTTACAACCTAATTATTAATTTAGAAAAAAAGAAAGTCGCCTTATAATCGGGCCAATACGGTACTTTAAACTTTAGGCCTAATTGTCGATTTTTAGGCACCTGTTGGAATTTTTATTGAGATGTAATGGTCCTGCGTTATTTAAAAGCAAAAAAAAACATAACTATTCAAATTAATGTGCTTTTTGCATGTTTGTTTATGTTACTGAAGTAATTGTCTATAAAGTATGTCTGCGGAGTTACAACGCTAGAATCCGGGTTTCGATACCCGTGGTGGGCAGAGCACAGATATCCCATTGTGTAGCTTTATGCTTAATTATAAACAAACTTTGCATTCGTATAGAACAATGCACGTTAAACGTCGATCACGTTTGCATTCGTATAAACGTAAAAAATGTGCTACTGTACAATTAGCCAATAGGACTACTGAATTTCCATGTAAGCTAGCATGCATACACATGAGGACTGACTAATACACATTATTCTTTTAATTGTATAGATAATCTTATTACTTGCAAATCTACATTGACTAACCAGTGCATAAGGAGTCCGCCACCTCCCCACATTTGTAGAATATTTTACCGATTTGTAAAATAGACTGATCATGTGATGTATCAGGTGATTGATTCTAGATGTGGTCACATTGGTTAGTATGCAAGATAATGAATCAAAACAAGGAGCTCTCCAACGTTCTAAAGTATGTAATTGTAGATACTTATCAATTGCATGTTTTATTGCTGTTCAAAGACATTTGTAATCAGGGTCAACTGAAAAGAACTACGTCTTATACTACACAGATTGTGGTCGCCAACTATTGGTATCAACTCGAGAAGCAACTGATCGATAAACGTCATTCTATTTTCCAATTCGCGGATTCCTTGAACTGTAGTCACAATTCAGCTATCGCCAACCATACTACAGGAAAAACATTGCAAAAGCTTCATACGGCAGCCGACAACCAATCAGAAAAACATCTAGCTAAGAAAGACACAAGTAAGAAAAAACGTCTTATAAGGTGCGTAAAAAGCATATAGCAGACAGTAAAAAAAAATCGGAAGCGTGTAATGCGGTTTAATGAATTACGTTCCACAGTTTTATGTACTTATGGAAGGATTTGGGAATTTTATTTAATTAGTGTACTTGAATGTTGTTGCTGATAATGTCTAGTATAAAATGCTGTATTTTCAATAACCGCCACAGTGTGTATTTGAATGTTGTTGTCCATCATGTCTACTACACAATGCTGCATTCTCTCTAAAATCCCCAGTGTATGTGTACTACCGGATCTCCACATACGAAGTATACTGTATACACGTATCTACTAGATCTCCACATACGAAGTACACTGTATACACGTATCTACTGGATCTCCACATACGAAGTACACTGTATGCACGTATCTACTAGATCTCCATATACGAAATATACTGTATACACATATCTACTGGATCTCCACATACGAAGTACACTGTATACACGTATCTACTAGATCTCCACATACGAGGTATATTGTATACACGTATCTACTAGATCTCCAAATACGAGGTATATTGTATACACATATCTACCGGATCTCCACATACGAAGTATACTGTATACACATATCTACTAGATCTCCACATACGAGGTGTACTGTATACACATATCTACTGGATCTCCACATACGAAGTACAATGTATACACGTATCTACTGGATCTCCACATACGAAGTACACTGTATGCACGTATCTACTAGATCTCCATATACGAAATATACTGTATACACATATCTACTGGATCTCCACATACGAAGTATACTGTATACACGTATCTACTAGATCTCCACATACGAGGTATACTGTATACACGTATCTACTAGATCTCCAAATACGAAATATACTGTATACACAATACGTGTATACAGTGTACCTCGTATTTGGAAATCCGGTAGATACGTGTATACAGTATACCTCGTATGTGGAGATCCAGTAGATATGTGTATACAGTATATTTCGTATTTGGAGATCTAGTAGATACGTGTATACAGTATACCTCGTATGTGGAGATCTAGTAGATACGTGTATACAGTATACTTCGTATGTGGAGATCTGGTAGATACGTGCATACATTGTACTTCGTATGTGGAGATCCAGTAGATATGTGTATACAGTACACCTCGTATGTGGAGATCTAGTAGATACGTGTATAC